ACACTGGCGGGGCACCAATGAGAGATGATAGGTCCATCGTGATAATTTCAACAATAAATCAATCACAATGATTTCCAGGGAATACCGCATGGAGGTCGACCTGATAGGGTATATTGCTACCCCCTCCCCTCCCCCTAAAACAACGTTTGACAGTTATGTGGAAATGATAAAAGCCAAGCGGATTAAAAAAACAAAATAAGCAAAAGAAAACAAAAAATCTGCAAAACAGGAAAAAATTGATTATGGGGAGAAAAAAACTACAAAAATAAAATGTACCTAACAATACAACTAAAAAAAATTAAAGAATAGAAGGAAAAATACCATAAAGAGAATAAAAAACAAGAAAATCGCAAAAATTAGATGATACTGTAATATAGGCAATTGTAAAAGGCTATTGGCAGCCTTTTGGCCTATTGGCAGCATTAAAAATTTCACTTCAATTGCATTCCATCGAAGCATAAAGTCCACATCACCAAAGATGATGAAAACATATATATATATATATATATCCATACATACATATAAGCCTATAATAGACAGTCATTATTTCATCTTGTTGTCTATAGCACGATACATAAATACAACAATACCGAAACATACAGCCAAGTAAGAAATATTACGTGGATAATTTATTCGCTCACACTCCTCCGTTTTTCTTGTACATATTACTTTCCTTCGCCATATATTTTCATAATTCAAATAGATACTCTCTCTTATACGATGTGCGAGTTAACACAATGTAAGAACTACGCCAAATTGGTCATAACTATAACGTAATAGCTTGTAAGAAAATCTACTTTGAATGATAGACTTATCAAAATGATGAATCTTTTAAAAGTTTCACAACTTATATTAAGAGAGGGGATGTAAATTTTGAAAAAATATTCTAATTCCAAACTTAGCAGTCTCTATCCCATAAGAATAAAGACTAGGACCCCGACTATTTATTCTTATGCCTGTACTATGGGTACTTCATGGGTGCATTTAATCCTTTACTTGTAAACAATTACTTATTATAAAATATATATGTACGAGTATATTAGTGCAAAAGCGCGTACATTAGTAAATCGTAGGTTTAAGTAGATAATTTTAGGATAATCTATGGTGCTCTTATCGCTTCTTAAAACATCTTGAGGATAATAAGAAGTAATAATGCATTCCATATTAACGGTTCACATGGAGAATAATTATAAATATCAAAATCCGTCAAATCATTTGTCAAGTTATTTGCTGTCATCATGAATAAGTACTACAATATTACGTACTACAAAATTATAATGTTTACATAGTACAGTATAATTAACATAAAGGAGAAAGAGGATTATTAGTAATGGGGCCTAATTGCCTTATTGTTAACAATACACCCTATCTGGTCGACCTCCACGCGGTTCTCCCTGGAAACCATCGTGGTTAAATTTAATTAATTTTGTCACGATGGGCTAACTAACCTGTTTTCATCGTCACCTATCATACCTCACTGGTGCCCCGGCAGCGTATACCGATAACGCAGGCGGGGTTACCATTTCATTATCACCCATTAAAAAAAATACGTCATATAATTGAGTACAGTACAGTATTATGTTATATTAATTATAATTACATCATAATTACCTTCACATGAAATTAATCACATAATAAGGATCGAAAATTGAATTCATATAAGGCAAAAATTTTAACCCACCTATTCTTGAAATTTCCAATCCAAATTTCTATCGTATTAGAACCATACCGATTATTTGCATGACCCGAATATCAATAACTTACAATCTACTCCTATAACTTACTTAAAATGCATGTTCTTATGCCTACTCACTATGAGCCAATATGAGCACTCAAATCGAAAATTAAGAATCCCATCTTGAAAAGAGTTGTTACTTTTAGCGTTCGAACGTTCTAGCAATTACTATAAAAGCTCTAGAAAGCTTTATGAAACATTCAGAGGGCAATTCACATATATGAATATGTGAAATCGGTAAACAAAAATTAGAGAACATTTGAATTTAGTAATATAAAATATAAAACGAGAACTAAATATAATAATAAATTAGAGTGTAGTCATAGAAAAGGTATCGCATTTTTTTGGATTCTTCTTACCAATTAGGTATGTGGTGGTGTCTGACTGAAGCAGTAACTTCAATCGTGTCAAAAGCAATATAAGTTTTTGCAAATCAAATTTAATTATAAATTTTATTAAATCTTACTGCCTGAATACTTAGAAAGTAAATTCTACTCGATCAACATATTTTTTGCTTTACATGTTTAGATATATGACTTATTTTGGCATAAGTTTCATTTTAAGTAAGGGGAGAAAGGGATTGTTAGTAATGAAGTCTAACAGTCTCATTGCTAGTAATACTCTATTAGGTCGACCGCCACGTGGTTCCCCCTGGAAAACATCGTGGTTAATTCTTATGGAATTCTGATCAACTGACCTGCTTTCATTCTATATATAATATGATTTTAACTAATCCATTGTAAACCATGTATTAAGTACGTAATGTACGTACCATATTTTATCAAGTGGTTATAAAAATCTTAAATAAGAACATAGAGAACGTGCCCTGATTAATCCTCCTTGTACTTAATTAGAATCGAAATAAAACTTCCCACATTCAACACAGTCCAATTTTGTTGGTTTAGTCTAGTAGGCTTAACAGAAAAACAAGTAAAAGAAAATAGTAAGCTTATTTATTTAGTACTTCAGATAGAGACCTAACATATGTAGAAATAATTTATTTACTACTCTAAATAGCTGTGCCCTATGAAATGTCTTTCATTAAACAGATCAATGAAGGTGATCTTATTAATAGAACCAACCTATTATCGCGTGGATTCAGATGTTTTATTTTATTCCATTATGCATTCCTAAAATATATATACACGTGTTACGTGTATACTCAACCGGTCTGTTACCAACTTTATTTTCAATATAAAAGAAAATACCCAACGTTAATTCGTTTAATAAATTCAATGAATTATTATTTATTATAATGGAACTATAACTAATCGGAATCAAAATTCACCCTACGAATGCTGCGGTATACATGGTACTATCATAGTCTTATGGTACTATCACTATTTATAACTAGCATATACCAAACACTAGTGAACGATAATATGTGAGGAGGTCAGTTTGGTCATCGTAATGAATTTGCCTAGAAAAATTAATTAAGATGATTTCTAGAGGGGTCGCATGGATGTAGACAACAGGATTATATAGTTAGTAATTGAGGCTGCCAGTCCACCTTATCAAATAAAAATCCAGAATCCCATTACCAAGTATTTGAATGTTTGTTAATCATCAAGTGTTATAAACAGCTAAATATATTTTAAAGAAAATTACCTAGAAAAGTAAAGTAATCTTTATTGTAATTCATGCATGTAAAACATGTTACGGCTAATTATTAGGAAAAAGAAGATAAAAATTACATAGATTTTATACATTTATGTAAGCAGAATATGTTTTATAAAAAAAATTGAAGTTACCAACTGGTATTATATAACATTACAATAAGTACCTATTTATGAATTGTGGGATTAGTTACGTCCATATATGCCTGAACAAAAATACACATGTGCGGACCGTGTTATTAATGTTTATTTACTGTTTAAACAACCCACGATACTTACCCACATACACAAAATCAAAAATCTGTAGGCTCAAAATAACTTTCGTCTGTTACTATATCTATTTGTAGGTATTTCAAATACAAAATTATTTAAAAAATGCAATTAACACTTATGAATAAAAACTAAAACGTAACGTAAAGATCAAACAAAAAGATTTTACAATACAATTAACAGTTGAGTTTCTTATATGTATAATAATTATTCTATGTTTATATATATTAAGTTATATCTACGAGTACGTATGCATCTGTATATGCGAAAAAATTCCCCAGAAAATAAATAAAATTCCCGTAATGAGGTGGAATTTTTTTCAATCAGGATTAAATTATTTTTAAATTATTATTTGTATTTTGTGCTTATATATTATTATTATTATTTTGTACATAATATAAATATATTATTTATGTAGTATGTACACTGAGATATTTATTATTGAGTAGGTATTATGCAGATTTTGTTATTTGACCGATTTAATAAAATGAAATTAAGATCTCAAGATAATGTTGTATAAAATAATAAATATATTTAAAAATGCTATCTTTTGTTTTATTTTTGGTAAAAGAATATTCATCGGAATGTGCAATTTAACATAAAATTTATACATTTCTTTTATCACATGATTCACGTTTCAGTGAAAAATATTTAAATTGTATTAATATCGAAAAACTAACTATAATATCATTATAATCCTATTCGTTTCCATTTTGAACATCATGCTGGCCAATATAACGAAAGAAGGGGTGCTTTTTGTGTAGATTGGTCAAATATTCCTGCCCAAATCGTTTTATATAGCTTGTATAAAGTGAAATTTATTTTCTCTTGATAATATACTTTTGGGATATTATTAGCATAGTCTCTCTCTAATCTATAGTTATTAATCTCTCTAATCTGTAATTAAGTCGGTGCCAACCTAAGAACAAGAATAACATAGGAGTGATAAAATTGTCAATTCATAACAGACTAGTGTACAGAAAATGTTATACGACCGTATAACCTTACCAAATTTAAATACAACCTGACTGCATATTTTCTACATAAACTGTGTTAAATATATTATCTAATGTAAAATTTGTCATTGACAAATAACTGATATATCAAATATTTTCTATACACTAGCCTGCTAAGAATTCAGAATAATGACAACTGATGGCGTATCTTTCGTCCTTTTTTTACTAATTATATTTGCATAAGCAGAGAGGAGGCAACCATATGATTTATAGTTTTTATCATTCCTTCTATGTAATTCCTTGTTCTTAGGTGCCAACCATACGAACGAAATATTTGTGATAATCTTTGGTGCCAACTCTTATAACGGTTTTATTACTTTCTCTGTGGTTATTTGTCATAGTACGTAATTGAATCACAATTGATTAATTTTTTCCGGTAAATAGCTTGTAAACTTAAATAAGTATAAAATTATCCGTAATCAATGCCATACATTTTGATCAGAGGAAATCTCGCATCATATGGGCACAAAAACCCTTGGCGTGTTTTAGTATCCGGCTTGAAAGGTAAGATATTCATAATTTTGTCTTACAATAACATTTTTCTATTGTGTGTGTTTTGTGTACTTTATTGTTTACCATATCATAATACATTTGAGTATTGCATAATACGCTTATATATCTGAATCATTTAACCTGAATGTAATTTGTACTACGTTACCTATTACTTTCATATAGCTGGTGAAATAGAGCAATTGAAAAGATTCACATGTGGCGGATATTGCGACGATTCCACAATTGTCTACTTACAACATCCTTGTGTTATTCTAAGTGCGTTAGAGGTGAGCATTCATCAGCTATGAAACTGTTCTAAAATACCCTTGAAAAAATAAATCATAGGCAATTGTTCCATTATTTTCAGGTATTGGGTTACAAAGTGGTCGCATCAAGCTCAACAGCCGTCAAACAGGATTATAATGAGTACATGTGGACTATGAGAAAAGAGTTCTCTGAGCCAGAACCTTCAATAATAGTTGAGCAAGATAACATTACTAATTTCAGTAAGGAAGCTATGCACTTAAGCAATTACCATTCTAATAAAGACGACGAAGTTTAAAGCATACATTCCTGACTTTATATATCCCTCTAATACTAAATTATTGTTGATAATATGGATTCCAAAGGTGGTCAAAACATTTCAGCAAGCAACTTAGCATCTTCACCTCTTATAGAGGAAAATGGTGTTGTGTATATTGCTATCAAGGGCTCCTTACATGCAAATGATTGTTCTGTATTTGGTTTAGGACAAGAAGAGATAAAAGCCTTGACAAAAAAATATCCAGGTTCAGGTGTTGTAGTTAACGGGATTGCTATTAAAACAAATGTGTTAGATGCTTTGAATTCTTTAAGTCAATTGGGATATAAAATTATCTCGAGCACCGGTGAGACGGAGATAACTTGGACCATGCAACGTGAAATATAAAGTATTTATAAATGTTTAATGTTTTAATTTTAAGTAATTATATGCATATAACACTATAAAATGGAACACCATGATTGTAATCACTCACACTGCACAGTGACAAGTACAAATATGTCTGTATGTCAGACATTGTCTGAAATGGATTGGGAAAGAGGTCTATGGTATGCAGGTAAATATATTATTTTACATTATCTTTAATATTTTATTCCATGCACATATTAGTCATCCACCTATGTAAATAAATTTAAAATAATGATGATTCTAACTCCTTAAATAATTATATTTAATAGATAATTCAAATTGATATATATAATATTGCAATTCAAAGATTTTCCGATTTATAATTTTGCATATTAATAGTACTAAAAAACAGTACTGATTAGTATTTTTGATATTTTATTATTTGTTCAAGTATTAAATAATAATTTTAAGTTTATTTATTTATTACTTGTTAGTGTTATAATAGCTCAACCAATCATAAAATTTTGTAAATACTATTTGGAATGCAGACATACATAGTCTACCTTTTATTTTGGTCAATCTCACATGCTCACATAATCAAAAACATTGATAAAAAATTATAAATACCTATAATATACATGTATTTTATAATTTTCAGCTTTTTATGGTGACAAAGACAGAGTTAAATACTTGATTGACAAAGCAAAGAATATTAAAGAAGCTGTAAATGCACCAGATAATTCGGGTTATACCCCACTGCACTATGCTGCACGCACTGGTAATATTGACATCTGTAAAATATTATTACAAAATGGTGCAATTATAAATTCACAGACCAAAAGCGGTATGGCCACACCCCTACACAAAGCTGCAGCAGCAGGTATATTCCATATATTTTTAAACAGATTTGGAATTTTTTTTTTTTTACCTGAAATGATATACTTTCAAAATTGGTTCAGTACTTTAATTTCTAAATTAATTGATTTTATCACACTTAAAGTTGATGGTTTTTTTTTTTTGTGAAACAAAATCGTAAGTTGTCTTTTTTTGAGATCTTTTTTAATTTGAAAGAAAATATAGTATCAAAACATTTAATTATTGTTCAAAACTGTTATAATAAAATTCATTTGAATAAATAATCTCATCTAGATCTCGATTGACACAAATATCTAGAAATCTCATAATTTTGTTTAACATAATCACATTCATAAAAACTATATTTTACAGGTAAGACAGATATGGTGAAATTTCTTATTCAGTCTGGTGCCTGTGTGGAGATGCAGGATATTGATGGTCAAACAGTTCTTCACAAAGCAGTCGAGAAGAACAACATTGACTTGGTTAATTACTTGCTTACCACCTATCCTAGCCTTGCTCATATAAAGAACAAGAAAGGTATTTGTGCTGTCAAATAAGGTTTGCTGCTTTTGCAAGTGAATTGCACTATTATTTATTTAAATCACAAATTACTATGTACTTGTAATTATTTGATGAAATTTTATCCTATATGCAATGTCAAACATTATTTATGTTTCTTTGTACTGTAAAGTTTAAAAAATGTTAATTTTATACTTTAAGTAATATTTAAATTGATATTATCTATGTAAATAGTGATATATAGAATTTATAAAATACCTATAGAAGAAAACTTGAGTTGCTTATTGCATAGAAAAAATAAGACTATGTTTGTTTTTAATTAATTATACATATAGGTGATATGTGTAATCAATCTTGGCTGATTCAACATTATTCAGTTATTTATAATTATTATAGATATTATAATCTAACCATATCTATTGGCGTATTTAAGAATATTTTCCAGGGTGGGCTTTACCCTTTTAAACTAAGAACATTAAGTACTGTCAAACATTTTTGCACTTAGTTGAAAACTCCACTCGCATCCTGGCGAATCACCCGACGATTCTGGAGTGGGCATAGTCGATCCTGCCTTCCTTAAATATGGTTATGTCACATCTTTAATATCCTTCGCTAATCAACATAAATGAATATAAAAACTAAAAACAAGACTTTATCAAATACATTGTTCCAACAATATTCTTATTATAAAATTTATTTTATCTATAATTATGGTTTTTACGTCGCCATCTTGATGTTACACACGTACTTTTAACTATTCACCTTTATTAGTAGATATATATGTTCACTTTCTCTATTTAATATCCAATCTGTTTAATTAAATAAATTTATATATATATATATATATATATATATATATATATATATATATATATATATATATATATATATATATATATATACCATACTTTACATTTTTACATAGATCCAAAAAAAATCTTAAATCTACAAGTACACTCGTAAAATGACTAGATAGCCAAATTCCTACATAAAAAGCATTGGCTCATCTATCGAAATCTCCAATGAGCTAGGAAACGATTTCCATGTAGGTACTTTCTTATATACTAAGTAGATTGGAACCAAGCTTAAGTCCCACTTAAAAGCTGAAATTCGGCCTATAACACATTAGGAAGACATAAAAATATCTGTATTTTAACAGTTTACGGTGTTATTTAAAGTGCATTTAACGCCAATCATCTGATCACTCGATAAATATGATTAAATATTATTTTATAAACGTTTCTGTAACAATCATTTGGCACAAATATATTTGTATACCGAATACCTATAATTCAATTACCTGATCATGTTTTTACTAGTCTCCATATATGTATTTATCACTCGTCTCTTATTCAGTTTATTCTAAAGGCAGGTTAATTTATTTTTATATCTTTCATCATTTTGGTCCTAGGAATAAGCTGTGTAAATAAGAGGCAATGTGGTAATAATGTTTCGAATAGCCATATCATTTGTTATAAATCATTCATAATGTGACGTTTATAGTCTACGTTTTGTAGATTAGAATAGTTACTAGTATAGTATTAAGTTACCTATGGTGTAGTTTTGAGTTGGTTTAGTGGAAACGATCCTGATATATTTTCGACTTTTTAGCCTACTATTCCCAATGTGATATTATCTGAGACTTTTTTTTATACCATACATGTGGCAAACAAAAGTACTGCTCGCTTGATGCTAAGCGGTTACCGTAGCCTGTGGTTGTCTTCAATATCCACAATGTCACTTGCGCTTTGTCGGCCGCAAGATGATCCTTAAGAACCACATACTTTAAGAAAATCTAGACCAGGAAGCTCATTCCACAATTGGAGTGGGTGATCATTTAGACTGAGAGTAAAAGCTCTTTGATATCAGGTGATGCGAATAAAATAAAATCTACTTATATAATTTTATATTTTATAGATTATTACCCTGTTATACAAAATACGTGAGCCTAATAAAATTTAACGACTCCATTCCATATAATAATATTTCATACTGTTATATATGAATAACAATTATGTGTAAATAACTTGATCCACATCTGTAATTATTTTATATGGGTAGTAGTAACCTTGTTAACCAAAATGTATTTTGTATTTTCACTTATAGAACACCTTTGTACTGAATGTATCTTTTGACGAAATAAAATAATTATTTGTAACATTAACTTATTTTATTTCTAGAATATGCAACACGATCGTACATGATATATTTTAAAATTATTTAAAAGTTCTACTTAATACAGACCTTCATCTTCCATCTTTAAAAATCTTTTTAAGCTCTTAGGTAAAGGTAAATTTTCTATATAAGAAAACAACCTCATATTTCTACATGTATGTCTAATTTTTATTCTACAAAGGTCTGTTAAGTTTAACGGCTGTTTTGAAGCGTAGTAGAGCCAATAAGCCGCACTCCCTGATTTAGGAACCATTGCAATAGGGTCAAGTGTTGTACAATGTCCAGCCCTTAATAACATACAAGCAAGGTTTGGTGATATTTTTCTACTTGCTATAGATAAATTATCCAGGCCACACGAACGTAAATCACAGGCATTCACATCTACACCATGTCGTATTAACAACATTGCCGCGTGATCTCTGTAATCAAAAGTAATACAATTAGAATAAGTAGACAAGAGCTGAGGTGTTATTTCTCTAAACTTTTAATCTAATATTTAATAGTTTCCTAATATTACTGTTTTATGAACCATTAATAATTTGAAATATGCTTTTAGAAAAATAAAATTATATTAGTCCTTAGAATAAAGATTTCACTATGATATCAAATTGATACATTAATTTTAGAGATAGGTTCGAATGTATCTGTATTTCTCGAGAAATACACCTTAGAATCAACCACTTTGTAAAAAATAACTCGCCCAACGTGTGTAGATTATTAGAGATGAAACCTCGCTGAAGAGCTAAATACTACAAGCCTACCAATATTGTTTTTACTATACTGAGCTATGAATATTTGCTCTCAAACTAAATATTAGTATGTGCAATAAAACTACTATCCAAGCTAATAACCACTTTACACAGATAATATTAGGATTCATTTTGTACGACCCGTAGTTGAAACTATTAATTCGTTATATGTATTATGCGCTCGGCGCAAGCGACTTATTAAATGCGGCAAATTATTGAAAATTAATCCTAATGTAATTGATATAAAAAAAAATAGTTTAATCCCTTAGTATAAAAAGTATTTTCTTTTACATATAATATTTTATAAAAACTAAAAATTTGGATACCATTTGTTTATTATTGTGTACACAAAACAAAGGGTTAGTGAAAGGCCAAAAAACTTCTCGGTTGAATTATTTGCTAACTACATCCTTCATGTTTGAGTTCTTAGGATAAAATTATGAAATAAAATATTTAAATTAGCGTAACCTATTCTTTAAAAATATTAATAAGTATTCATATTAATAAGATCTCAAAAAATCATTTATCTAGAAAAAAACAATTATATCCCTACAGTATTTTATAATAGGTATGTACATACCCTGTTGTCTAAAAAGAAAAATATTGAGACCCTATTATTGAATACTAACACTAGTAAAGAAAGAATTACGATAACTAAAATATTATATATTAGTTTAAAGAATATAGTTGATTCATGTACAAACAATGATCATTTGAATATATTTGAAAGTAGTTAGTCTTTTTCTAAAATTATAAACATATATATACCTATGTAAAAGCAAAGCTCTATTTAATGCTGTGTCACCAGTCAGAGCAGTTGAATTTGTTTCTATTTTATATTCTAATAAACAGACTAGCAATTCTTCAAATTCCTTCGGACAGTCTATACTTTCAACAGCAATATGCAATGCATTTGCACCTGTTATACTATTGCACGCGTTAACATTTGCACCTGTAACAAAATTATGATGGTGATTCAATTATCTTGTAGAATTTACTTAATTCTTCTATTTTTTTTTCTTTTTTTTACAATAGATATTAAAAATTTAAATTACCTTTCTCGAGTAAAACTTGTGCAATACTGGGTTGTGACAATCGCGCTGCCAATAGCAGTGGCGTATCGCCGTTATCATTATGTAAATTTATACCTCCACCAAGATTAGCGAGCATTTTCACTATCTCCTCCTATATACATATTTTTTTTAATTCAAAAAGACATTTAAAAATACATTCTAAATTCTATTAAAACATAATTTCTAATACATAAAATAGCTTATAGTTCGAGTGGGTCGGTAGTAAATTTTTTTATGATACAATAGTTTTTTTCTTTTTTAATAAAATGTACACTAAATACCTGTCTTTGTATTATGGCATTGTGTAATAATTTATGAGAATGAGTTACACGAGCACCCGCCGCTAATAACACTTCTACAACATTCGTATATCTGTGCCATACTGCTTCACATAGGGGTGTATATCCTGAAACAAAATTTAACAGTAATAAATATTTTTTTTTCTAGAATACTATTAAATATATTACAATAATTTGATTATAAAAATTTGTTCCGCAAATAAAAGCAAACCGTGTGCCTTGTAATAGCATGTGATACTAACATAAAACGGGCTACACCTTTCTTTTCCGTTGGTGTCGTAAGAGACGACTAGAACTTAATGGTCGAGGGATGTTTAGTATCCCTCTTAAAACATAACTAAAGCCAACCCGTCTGCCAAGCATGATAAATACTGACAAAACCGCCAAATCAGGGAAGGCCCATGTTCAACAGTAGACAGTAAACAGCTAATATGATATGACGTGGGAGAAAGGAATTGTTAGTAATGAGGGTTAATAGCCCCATTGCTAGCAATATACCCTGTTTTTTCGCTCTTTGGAACCAAGGACACATGCAATACTGTTGGTGTTGTGGGTGAACATGGGCGGCTGTAGTCACTTACCATCAGGTGAGACGCATACTCGTTTTCCCCGTTTGTAAAAAAAAAATTAATCGAAAATTCAAACAATGTGGAAGTCATTTAAAACTGACACATTAACATAAAAAATATAAAGATAACAAACAACAGCATTACATGTTTGATCGAAAATGTAATTATACTTTAACAATATTAATATTAAATATATTTATACTATAACAATAATTTGCACGTGTACATTTGATGCGTATGTGTATTTTTTTTAATGGACGATAATGGAATGGTAACCCCACCCGCGCTATCGGTATACACCGGTGGGGCACCAGTGAAGGATGATAGGTGAGGATGAAGTAGGTCGATTAGCCCATCGTGATGAATTCAACAAGAATTGTTCACGATGGTTTCCAGGGGGAACCACGTTGAGGTCGACCTAATAAGGCATATTGCTAGCAATGGGACTGTCAAACTCCATTGCTAATAATCCCTTTCCCCCCGCGTATGTGTATTGAGTATCTCTACACACCCTAAAGGTTGACTGGTAGAGAATGCCTATAACATTAAATTCGTCTTTTCTACCACATTTTATTGGTTAATAAAGTAATAAATAAATATGTTGAAATATTTATCAAACAAGTCTACAAATACAAAAGGCTTGAAAACAAATAATATAAAATAATGATGACAACATAATACTACTAAACTTACCATGAATTTCTTCACCATTGACATTAGCTCCTAAAGATATAAGATACTTGACCACATCAATGTGACCTTGTCCGGCAGCTAAATATAAAGCTGAGCGTTCGTTTGTATCTCTTGCTTCTAAATATGCTCCATAACTGACTAGAATTTTTACCTAAATATATAATAAAAAAAAAATAAACAATAATTTAAACAAAATTAAATATGAAAATAGTACTGAATTTTGTCTTTTATTCTTGGACAATTATTATTTTTTTTATTATTTCATAATGAAAAAAATAATGTACATGTATGAGTACTTTAGTTAATTCTTTTCGACCAAATTAATTAATGAGGAAGTTTTTCAATTACATTGTATACTTTTTTGTGTAAATTATGCAATTATGGACTATTTCTGATGTTTATTTTTACTAAATAGTATAATCCTGCTAATTCTATGTTAAATTTATAAAGATTTTCTTTATAGCATTAAATCTTTAATTCTTATAATTGTACTTAATTTTACAAAAAATCAATATATAAAACATCACTTTACCATATCTAAGAAACCCTGTGATGCTGCAAAATGAAGTGGCGTCATTTTTTTATGAGTTGTATAATTTACGTGACTTCCTCCCTCTAATAGCAGTTTGACTATTTCTAAATGGTTTCTAATTACTGCAACGTGTAATGGCGTAAGACCATCACTTGCTGAAATATCTACTTTACATCCTGTAAATAAACCATGTGAACATTTTAGTAAACCCAGGATATCACATGTATAGTAATATTTAAAATTAAAGTCTGTTTTGAATGTACTGCAGCATTTTATATTAAATTTAGAGCTTTTACAAGCAAGCAATATTTTACCAATGGCAAAAGTTACTTTTGTCATTGACAAAAGCCATATAACTCTATTGAGACAAACTATGAAAGAAATCAAAGCTAGAGTTTTGTTTATTACTGTAGTTAGATTTCTCACCTTTATATATATAAAGTAAGACAAAAGAAATCTACATGGTTATTAAGGATAATATTGATCCATCTTAATCAAATTGGATACACAAAGGTTTTAATTCATTCAGCCTTTTAAACATTACTAAATTATTATACTAATATCTTTGTAATCTTACATTTATAATACTACATTAACCAATCAACTTCATGACACAAAGTGACCCTGTGACTCTACCGGATATGCTGTATACCAGTATAAATAACACAGTTCTGCACTACTTCTGTTATGTCAAATAATTTTAAAATTTTATCAAAAACTTTTCAATCACAAATATAAGATACCAGATTTTCATTTATCAATTATTTTTTATTTATTTACAATACTACTAGGATTACAATTTACTAGGATTACATTTGAGACAAACCTGCATCTAATAACAACTTGACAGCTTCCACATGTCCCTGCTCTGCTGCATAATGTAAAGCTGTCCTCATAAAAGTGTCTTGTTGATCAATACCATTTGTTACTACAGATGCAGCAGCTATGGCTGCACCGGTACATTCCAATATAGCTGCATACCACCTTAAAATTAAAGAAGTATTCAATTATCATTAATAAGACTGCTCCAAAAAGAACTGGAGTTACTCCAATAAGAAACAGGTAGCTATATTAATAATAGGGAGTCTTTCAGATGCAGATGCATTGTAGTAGTTAATTTAAAAGTGGTTTAAAACAAATCTGTGTATATCATGTACTTAAACAACAAAATTCTAAATATAAAATTAAGAATAATATCTTTAATATTCATATATTACAAATTTATATAAATATTTAGATTTTTATTACCCAATTAAACTTAAACAGCTGAATAGACTTCAATAAAAGGTATACAGATATTAAATAGTAAATTAATGCATTATTTTATATCCTACTTTATTCAAGCAATGTTAAATACAATATATTCCAAATAAAAAAATAAGCTTAAGTACTAACTTGTACATAGAGGACCAAGTTTCATCTTCACTAGTTGTTGGTGCAACACTGCCTATTTCCTCATCCCACTCAAGATCAGCTTGAGGTGAAGGTGTTAAGGTGGTAGGACTCAAAGGGGATTTTAAACTTGACATTTTGCTTTCATCACTGGTAGACCCTTCACTGTGTATAAAAACAAAATAACCCTGATTTTTTTCCATGTTACTGCTTTCTTGTATGGCACCAATATTACAATGGCCCATGCAATATTCTTTAAAACTTCTTTCATTTATATTTTTACATTTCACAACAGTTTCATCATGTTGTCCATCAAGTCTCAACTTTCTTTTTTGTGATTTTGTATGCATTTTTCTTAAAGATCCGCTATGTGGAATTTTAGTTGGAGAATTTGTTTTGGTGGCATCTATAAGTAATCGTACTATACTAACGTTTCCAACATTTGCGGCTTCTCCTAAACATGTTTTTCCGTGGCTTGCAGTTTTATTTGGATTTGCACCTACGAAAATAATCCTTTTTCTAATATATTTACCGAGTACATTTAATAAAAACAATAAAAGAAAATGTAGCAAACTAAATCATTTATAACTAATCTCTATAAATTTTACATACAAATTTAATAAAAAGTAAGTGATAAATACATTGATTGTTATTTGAATTTCATTTGTAATTTGTAAATAGGTACCTTGTTTTAATAAATGAGATACAGCTTCTTGATCTTCTATTAGAATAGCCTGATACAAATTATCTTCTGGAGATTTTTCCATGGCATGAGTATTTACTAAAATTCATAAATAAATTTGTATTATTACAATCATAAACTACAGAGACTAATTACAATATACAAACAAACCAGGTGCACAGATTAATGAATATATAACCAAGAGATAAGAGTGTGCACTTCATACAAGCCGCGTAAAACGACTTAGTCGGAATACCTTACTAATCTACACAAAAATCCTCCTTTTCTCGTTATGTTGGCCAACCTGATGTTAAAAATAGAAACGAATAGGCTTGTAATTATATAAAATATATTTATTATTTTATAGAATATTACCTTGAGATATCAATTTCGTAATAATATTAACAGTAAACACAAGTTTTCAACATTTCTCGTAATATCTGGTTAATTTTTAAAGTACACCTCGTAACGGAGTCAATATTAAATTATATTTAGTCGTAATGCCCACATTAAAAGAAATAGAATTATTAAATATAAAGCTCAAATTTCAAAATATATTGAATTTAAAGAAATTCGGTAGTGATGTTTATGTACATGTTCCTGACCAACTACGAAAAAAATGGAATCCTAAGGGAGAACATGGACTCTTTATGGGTTATGAAGAGACTACTAAGGGGTTTAGAATTTATCTTCCAAGAAAAGGCACTGTGGAGATTAAAAAAGATATTGTATTTACTGGTGAAAACAAACAAAAAGAAAACCATAATGGGACAGAAAATACTATAATAGTTAATACAAGTCATGACAATAAAGTATCAAATACACAGTCAGAAAATGAAGGAAGTAGTCAAATAATGTAGCTAGAAGAATAAAATTGTGTATGAAATGAAATCGACTACAAGTATACATTTCACACAATCCATTCCAGTTGCCTCATCGTGACAAAAACAAAGACCATAGTTTCCTTACCCGATAGGTCATTACTAACAATAAATGTGTCATACCTAGTTCATTACTAACATCTCCCATCCTCGAAAGATAAAGTTTCTTTTTGTGAATATGAAATAGTACTCTTGCCTGCATTATCGGTATACGTTGGTAGGGTACTATGACGATGTTAGGTAAAAATGAAGTCGGGTCTCTTGGAACCAAATTGAAGTTGGTTGGCAGGGTATATTTATAACAATTAAGTTACTAATCCCCGTTATTAATAATACCTTCTTTTCCGGAAGTTAAAATTAGGTCAGTTGATTATTCTTAACGAAATATGTTCACGTTGTTATTATTTGTCAATTTTCAAAAACAATTGAAAATTGTCGATTGTTTTCGATTGATTATTTATAAAGTGTTCTGCCTATGAATAAAAACGATAATCATAGAATGTGTTGCATATAAATCTATTATTGAAAATTATGAACGTATATACTCTGCTTTGAAATTTTTTAAATACTTTTTTTGCTATCATAATTTAATATATCAACATCAAATTATAGTGATAGCTTAATGACTTGCTACATGATTAACGTTTCAGTTCGTAATCAAAAAATTCTTAATTTGCAACGTTATCATATTACATAAGTTAAAATAAAGAATGCTCTTAAAAAAATTTGCTTATAAATGTACTGATGTACCCTAACTTCGACGTTGTATTTGTATTAATGTGAGTATATAGGTATGGGAGGAATTTGGCAACAAGCGACAAATATATTCTTTTGTTTTATTGTTCGCATCATTTATTATTAAAGAGCAAAAATAAGTGTATATCTGTTGCTGTCTGACACAGACTTCAGGTTTAATAACATATCTTAAATATTGACTATGTATGGAGGCCATAATGTCAGGATGACATTGACAGACTACGCGACAAAAATCACAGAACTGTTTAAGACGACGACATGACCAAAAATTGAAAGAATAAAACTAGTATTTATTTTTGGAAGTCCGTGAATTCCTATGTAATTTGGCACTTTTGGTAAGTAACATTTTAATAAAACATATCTTGTATTATACTAACTATCCGTTATTGCTGAAAATGTGGAGATTAATGCGATAAACTTTACAATTACTATATTTCTTGAATGATTAATATTACTATTTTAGACTTGACACCACTCGTCTTCCTGTTAATCTCCACATACCTATTCACTTGTTCGTCGTAGGTAGGTACTCATTTGATGGAATTTGCAAAATTAATACTACATCTTTCAATTGAAAACTGTCATGAACATAGTGAATACTATACTAAAAAATTACTTGCTATACAAATCAAATTTTCCTTAAATGTTACTGAAAATTATTAAATATTACAAATATAACTTCTATGTAAACATTTAAGATATAAAAAATAATTAAAAGTAACCTACTATTTCTTTTTCAGATATATTTATAACATGGTGCTAAATTTTAAATAAAATGTCTACTGAGAATTGCTTAGTGAAAGCAATATATTCTTTTAAGGGCAAGAATAATGATGAATTATGTTTTAAGAAAGGTGATATAATCACTGTAACCCAAAGAGAGGAGGGTGGATGGTGGGAAGGTACTCTTGGTGAGACAACAGGATGGTTTCCTAGCAATTATGTGACTGATTACAAAGGTATTGTTTATTATATCTAATATTAGTAAATGTTTGGAACCATTAAATGTGATCATTATGTTATGCTTTATGAGATACCCTTATGCATAATATATTTTTTTAATGGTAATCATAATTTCTTTTAATATCTAGATCCTTCTGGCTCTGTTACAACCTCACCAATACGAGCTGCTTCTGAGATCCAGGCATTCAGAAATGTTGTTCTCAAAGATATCATTGATTCTGAGAAAGCCCATGTGGCAGAAATGCAGGGACTCGTTAGTAACTTTCTTCAACCTTTAGAGAAAAGTAATATGTAAGTTGTTGTATTTATAATTATTGCTTAGGTATTTTATAAATTTTAACATATGATTCAATTTAACTTTTCATCTTAATTATCTATTTCATATCAAAATTATTATATTTACTTTTAATCAAGTAAATATAATACTTTTGTATGGCATATTTTTATATTTAAACCTAATGTGAGCCAGTCTTACCAACTGCTATTATTACAGCCATTACTTAATTGAAGTAATTCCTGTAAATGTGAAGTTTTGGTAAATTACAGATTTAAGATAATAAAGATTTTTTTTCTGAACTGATCTGATCTATAACTTTATTTATATTGTGTAACATTTAATCTACTTTTGAGTATTGTGTTTGAGTAAGTGGTTATTCAGAAACTTGGTATCTGTAGAAAGATGATTAACATTATTAATATTATGAAAATCAATAAAATAATTTCATTCTCTATACATAAAGTTCTCTATGGTAATTGGTATTACCAATGTACTATGGTATATGCATGCTTTATTATAGATTTATAGCTTTTAATGTTGTAATATAAATGCTTTTTTATCTATCTTTAACAGTTTAAATAACTGCACTTTATAGATTTTTTATAACATTAATAATTTAAAATATTTTACTTTTAGGCTTACAAGAGATGAGTTTAAGCAGTTAACAGGCAACATCAATGAGGTACTCCAGATTCATGAGCAATTCCTTGCACTATTAGAAGAATGTGCAACAAAAACAGGACCAGATCAGAGAGTGGGTGGTCTATTTTTACAATGGGCACCTAAAATTAAAGCAGTGCATCAAACATACTGTGCTGGTCATCCTAAAGCTGTTTGCATTCTTGATAAATATAAGTAAGTTGAAATTTGAATATTATAGGGTAATTATTATGACTTTGATACATAAAATATAGTCATGCTTATAGTCATTATTAAAAATACTTCTTGTATACAACTGTTATTGATCAGAAACTATAAACCTTGAAGACAAACTTTCTCTGTCTATGACATTACTGCACTAAGTTTAAGTGAGAAAAAAAGATCACTCTTTGTTAGAATCTCTTTATTTTAATTATTTTTTATTAGTTTCTTTTTTTTTTTTATTGTAAAGAAGATATAAAAACCTCATTTATGCAATATATTATTGTTGTATAGAATTTCACAGGAGAAAAAGGCTAAAAAGAATTTTGTGAATTTATAACTTGAGGATTAAAAGTTAGGAAATCAATTTTGGACTTGTTAATTTAAAAATTCCTGTTTGGGCTTCCAGTATTATTATAAAAGTATAGTCAAAAGCATAACTTTTATTTCTTTAAAAATATTATAATTTAGTGTTTACTATGATCATAACTTTTCTTTTTTATTTGTTGTTTAATATTATTTGCAATTTTAGGGAAGAACTGAACACATGGATGGAGAATGCAGGTGCTGTTTGTCCAGGTGTGCTAGTATTAACTGCTGGTTTGTCTAAGCCTTTCCGTAGACTTGGTAAATACCCTGCTATGCTGCAAGAACTAGCACGGCATGTACATGAAGCTCATCCAGATAGAGGTGATACACATCGGGCATCTGTTGTGTATAAAGATATTGCTGTAAGTTACCACTGATTAATTTTGTCTAATAGATTATTACTAACATTAACTACTATGATAATGTATTTAACTATGAGTATGTTTCTAGTAGTAAATAGATAACACTGTATATTTATATAACACATGCAAACTGAGTACTATGTTACGACCATAATAGAGAATTATAATATTCCAATGAATAAGTTCCTCTATACCACTATAGAGGAACGAAAATAGCATTGTAACTAGGGAAACTTTATACATATAAATAAAAAAAAAAACTCAATAATAGATCCATTATTAAATTGCCTGGCCATCTTGGCATTATTAGGCTAAAGGCCTCCTTTTATCAAGAGAAAGACCCGCGTTTATTTGTAGGATGTTAAATGTTTATCATGGTATGATATATTATCATAAATTTTGTTGTAGAGTGCTTGTTCGGCATTGCGTCGCCAAAAGGAACTAGAGTTACAAGTGATAACAGGCGAAGTACGAGGCTGGCCTGGTGGAGAGTTGGCGGCTCTCGGTGACGTGCTGCACATGGGAAGTGTTGCAGTTGGTCCATCACATCAGGATCGTTATCTCGTTCTTTTTCCTTCATCATTGTTGTTACTGTCAGTCAGCAAGAGAGTTTCTGCATTTGTTTATGAGGTGAGTAATTTCAGGATTTTACCATTAAGGTGGACTTAGATATTTTTGAAATTCAGAGAATTAATAAATAGATCAATTTATTTTAGGGTTGTCTTCCATTGACTGGCATAACAGTTTGCAAGCTAGAAGATACTGATACTAGAAAAAATGCTTTCGAAATCAGTTCACCCATGATTGACACCATAGTAGCTGTGTGTCAAACAAAAGCTGAAGCAGACAATTGGGTCAGTTTACTTCAAAAACACTCAAATACTAGTAGTCCTTCTCATGATCCTGGACAACCACAATCATTACCACATGTAAGTTTTTATGTAATATATGATACATACAATTTACTGTATATCTATTTCAGTTATAATTAAATATTATTTTATATTAAAATTTAAAAACGAAACTAAGTTATTTTATGATGTTATATAGCTGACCCGATCTCCTTCTGAAGGGGCATTGACTAGCATCAACTCTAGTCGGCGCAGTTTATACCACGTGACACTGCCACCACCTAGTTATCCCTCTGCGTCACCCTATTATTCATTAACTAAGTATTTCGCGAGACTTGTTAAGAAAAAAGTGATAACGCGACGAATGTTACGAAAACTGTTACACGAGAGAACATGGGCAAAAGCATTTGAGTTATCAGGATTACCAGTTATGAGAAGACATAAGAATCGCATACGACTGAAAATAGAAAACGACGAGGTCGTTGGAACCGAAACGGAATGTTCTGATAGTGATGAAAGTGACAGAGAAACTGATACTACAGAGACACACACCATGTCTAGCTGCACAGATGATGACATTGGTGGTTATTCCAAGATGCTTAGACAAAATGCTATGGACAACGTTAGTTCTCGAACGCCATCATCTGATTGCAGCAGTTGTGGTAGTAACTTTGGTTATGTACGGTATATCGATAATATCCAGGACATTAATTATGATGGCTATCAACAGGAAATCAAAGGCGATTGCACGAAAAATTTGTTTCAGCCTATAACACGTAGAAACGAAATCCATAATACAGTTAAAGTCATAGATCCAAATATGATGCCACAAGGATACAAAGACAAATTGTGTCAATTTCTTCAACATTCCGAAAGTACAGAAAATTCCAGTTTCGAAGTTAGGTCTTACATGGCCTGTGAAGACTTGGTCAACATTGATCAAAATACACAAATCGATACCATCGGAAATGAGGGTACTGACTTTATACCTACGAGACGAAGTTTTCCCAATTGCAGTACAAAGAATACCATTCCTAAACTTTGGAAATCAACTGATGATACTTATTCTCGAGAAGAACTAGACAGTGACAATTGTAGATTGATTGAGTTAGTTCATAATTTGTCTCCACCATCACCAAAACAACTTCGAGGTTACAGCGCAATCGATTCAATAATTATTGATCCACCACCAATGTTTCGGAATGAAGATGATGAAATGAAAGTTATAAATGTCAACCTTAATACAAAAATACCTTTTCGAAAACACTCGTTAAATTCGGATAAAAAAATCAGGCGTTCTGTGTCTAGATCAATGGTAGAAACTGAGAGCTTTACTAAGAATGATGAAACTCGCATCCAGAGAATGAGTTCGCAGTCTGAAAACAATAAAGTACATAAGAAATGTGAATGTTGTAATAGATCTCTCTGTCCAAGCCCTAGGTCTTCAGATTCAGGTGTTGCAGGGAGCTGCAACTTGACGTCTCCTGATTTGAACATGCCAGATTACTCTTCTAGCTCGGGTAACACAGGTCACGACTCTGACAGTCAGGAGAAAAATGCGGATCACCTAAAAGATTCTCTCACCAACATGTCCCAAGGAACCTATGACAGCAATCGCCGTAAAAAGTTGACATTATCGGAAATAGAGGCAGCTAATTTCGAGGATCAATGTAGATGTACCTCACCGTTTGGATCCACTGCTAGAACTTCGTGCGTGACAAGCGTAACATCGGAGAATAGTCTCGATGTATTGGATTCGTCAAATGCTAATGTTACCTCGACTTTTGTTGCAAATCCGCCTGTGTCTTCACCCCAAATTAAAAGAACTTCTATTAGGAGAAACATTGATAATTATAAACCAGTAATCAAACTGAAGCCAGATCCACCACCTCGAATTTACCGCAAGCCCAGTGCACATTTAGAAATTCCTAAGAATGTTCGGCAACCGTTGCCGTGCCAATGGAGTACCCTTAATATAACCGAGCGCACGAAGCCCAGTTTACATTACCATATGCGTATATTTAGAGAAAATCCTGCAATCAATAATGAAAGACAGTCACGTATGGATAGCCCTCGCAATCGCGATGTGTTCAATAAAGAAAACAAACAAAGAGATGAAACAGTTTCCTCGCAATCACGTAAAACTAGGTCTCGCAGTGAAGATTTATCAAAATTGCAAAAGGGTTTGACTGAAATGCAGACGGGATTTGTGGTTTATCGTTCGGATTTATACGCACACTGGTGGATGAAAGCAAAGTTACCGATTACCGTGGTCACCGACTCAGGCAAGGATTATTATTTTGTAAAGAGATACTGTGTTATGTATCACTGGTTTGAAGATAATATTGCCTTGAAGTTTTGTACCCGCTAGATTAATACCGTCATTAGAATTACCCCAGTGTTGCAGTGCTTTACTTGATCATCCTTGCCTGTGTTTATATTCATCTTACTAACAGAAAATACATCACTGCAAGTAGTTTTCACATGTACTAACATACTATGATAATTATGTATAATGCATGGAAATGCTTGATATTTCCTATATTTTATTTCATTTAAAGGTTACTAGTAAATAATAAACCCTAATAGAATATGAGACTGCGAAAAACAATGATTTTTATATCGATAATTGATTTAATTAATTCCAAATTAGGGGAGATAGGATAATAAGATATATTCTTATTTTTATTATAAACACATGATACTTTAAAAAATGTACCACATCTATTTCATGTTATTAAAAACACTGAATGCCTAATACAACATTTGAAAAATGCTGAGGTTACTATGCATATACGTTGTTAAAAGGTGTTTTTACATGTAAATAAAATGTTTGAACGAATGCTGGATATTTTGTAAACTTGGTGAGAACAACTGTACAAACATGTGTTAGCACAGAAATAAATACTTGTTTTGTAAATAAATGTTCCGTATTTTGATTTTTAGTAACCACCGTATCTTTTTTGCAGATGGCCATGAGCGACAGTAATAATTCTGATTTATCATCCGGTCTATCTAGCCACAAAAGATCACATTCATTCAACAATCATCAAAGCTACACTCAACATACGCAGCAAACACAGAAAAATAAGCAAAAGAACCATTCAGCGCGCTGGCTATTAAATTCCTGCGACTCGCTTGATCAATCGCCTGCCAAAACAAATAAAAGTCCTATCGGGAAGAAATTCTCGTCTGTTGATTTCATCGATAGTTCTGTCTCGAACTACAGCAATAAAGGTAAGTAAAATATTTTGGCTTTATTTAAAATATAGGTGGGACATTCATTTGCAACTAACTTTGAACAATATTGAGCTTTGCACACATATAAATTGTTTAATTTTATATTTTTTGTATATTAGTCATTTATAACTAACTGTAACTGATTCTTAAGTATATATAAAATTTAGTAATGTCATCATATATAGCGATTTCAAAAATGAGGAAGTCCAGGGCCTCTAGACTAATGGCAAACGAATTCGTCGATGAAATCGACATCGCTAGCGAGTCCATGAGTTGGAATGAGTCATCCGGTGTTGCTATCTCATTCTGTCTCGCGGACTCGCTAGCGATGTCGATTCCATTGACGAATTCGTTTGCCACTTGTCTAGAGGGCCAGTAGTCGTTTAGTATATTGTGCGGGATAGGCAAGAAGTGAAGTTTTCAGGATGTCGGTGTACAAAATTAAAGTCGCTATGATGATTGCCTACCTCATATAAGAAATGGCATCTATAGAAGACTAACAATCCGGCCCGGTATCACACGGGTAGATAGAATTTTCGAAAATATATAGACATATGCGTATTTAGAAAGAGACCAAGTGGGCTGTGTCCACCCCAGTATGTAAGTGAAGCTTCACAAAGTCATGTCTTATAGTACATAGGTATCGTCTTTAAGGGGACAGCCCCTTCCCCTCTCGCCCTAGAAAATTGTTCTAAATACGCCAATGTATAACCTACGTTATTCGCAGGTTTTCTATAGGTGAAATAATTTTTAAAATCGGTTTAGTAGTTTTTATCTATTACAAATAAACAATCAAATCTTTCCTCTTTATAATATAGTATAGGAAGAGGAAGCTCTTTATTTATTTATATTTTTATGTGTGCACGTTACGCGTTTTTATAATATGTTTTTGCAGTCAATAGGCTTTATTCCTGTATTTGTCCACATTTATTTTATAACGGTTGAAATTGCCGTTTTTGTTAATTGTTAAATAAAACAGTTTTCACAGTTGTTTTTACACTTGATATGTATAACTGACCCGTTAGTTATGCATACTTTTATTTTTTAAATACTACCTCGTATTGAAGTAAATGTTTGTACATTTTATATTTTGTACACGACTGTACAATAGAAAAATGAGAATAACCATTTATATTATCTAAAGTAATCCATATAATGAGCTGTTTATTATAAGATTTATTTCGTCTCTAATAGGTTATAAAAAAACGATCTTTTATTTTATTAGCAATTATGAGAACAGTAAAGTTTAATTTCATTCAGACTATTGACTAATAAACAGTTTCTAAACTTATTTCGTTCTATCAAATTAAGTAGTTATTATTTGTATTCTAAATATATTTTAGTCCACCTATATTTTGTATTTTAGAATATGTTTATAAAATATGCTGGTTCTTATTTATTATTAATTATATTGTAAGTACGTGGGACACTCGGGAAAGTTTTGCGACACTAAAAAAATATTCTATAGGTAAATATATTTTTATTACATCTTTTCAAAGTACTCTTCACCAGCCTCTATACAAAATTTTAATGCGTCTGAATCAGTTTTCGAAACATTTTTTATAGTTCGCTGCAGACATCTTGTTTACAGCCTGCTCGAACGCTGAGAGCGCATCACCACCTTTGAGCTGATTTTTTATTTTTGGAAATAAGAAGAAGTCACACGGTGCTAGGTCAGGGCTGTAAGGAGGGTGACCCAGGAGTTTGACCGGTGTGCTGTCTAGGAAGTCCCTTGTTTTAATTGCGGTGTGGGCGAGCGCATTATCGTGGTAGATCAGTAGCCCGCGGAGCCGTGTTTGGTCGCTTGTTGCTCATAAGAGTAAAAACTTTTGCCAAGCATTTGGTAGTATATCATTCGGCGTTAATGCTTCTTTGGTTTCGTAAAAGAATTGACACCAAGTAGCCAGTCAAATTGAAAAGCTCACGATCAAAATCTTCTCTCTGTTTCTAGGTCGCTTTACTTTGGTAAGCATTGATTCGTTTTGAAACACCCAAACCGTCGACTGGCCCTTTGTTTCTGGATCGTATGGATAAATCCAGGATTCATCACCTGTAACAATGTCGTAAACACGCCGAGACGAGCCTGCTTCAAATTTGTCTATCATATAATGGTACCATTCCACCCTTGCCTGTTTCTAAACATCGGTGAGGTTGTGCGGCACCCAGCGTGAAACTATCCTCCGCACCCGTAGATGCACGTGTAGAATCTCGTGAAGGCTTTCTGATCCAATCTACAGTATATGATGAATCTCTTGGTATGTAACTCGTCTATTGTTTTGGATCAAATTCTTCACTGCTAGCACGTTTTCTTCCATAACAGCCGTCAAAGGGCAACCACTTCTTTCTTCATCCCCCAAAGTTAGTCGACCGCGCTTAAATTCATTATACCAACGATACACGGTTGCCTTAGAAGGGCCTTTATCCATGAATGATATTTGAAGTCTATCGTACGATATGTACGGTTTCAGGCGACACTTAAAATCGTAAAAATCATAGCGCGAAAAGGTACTCGACGCAAATCCATTTTTCAATGAGACACGGTAATTTTAATTAACTCCCAAAAAATGTGGAGGGAAGTTATGAATTTAGAACGTATCTATTTTAACTTATAAGTAATCATATTTTTAAATAAATTATAACTACATAAAATTTTTTTTCTCGCAATACTTTCTTAGTGACCTGATAAAAATACTAGCTTCTATTTTTTTTTGTTATTTAGTTTATAAATGTGAATATTCAGTTCAGGTGGTCCTCAATTCAGTTCTGTATTTTATGTTTCTTACCTCATAATTCCGTCAATTGTAAACTGGTTTGAAAAAATTTTTATCTGAAAGGATATACTACATATTGTTCCATAGAAATATTTATCAAAATCAGTTCGGTAATTTATTTTTTAAATAAAAATAACGGGTTTTGCCATAATTGAAATCGCTTTTCGCAAATGGTAACAATAAATATGAATAAATAATCAAAAAGTTAATTAAATTGAAATTCCCAAGACCATAAATGGTCAATCTGGCATTATATATAGAATACATAAAATGTATATACAGTGTTATAGTAGAAAAGAGGTACAAAAACAGTTTCTTACTATTCTCGGGGGAATTTTCAGAAATCCTTCATTGTGAACGATGTAGGTAGTGTAGGTAAGGTTGAGGAACTTCTAAAAACTTTCAAGTTTATAGGTTTTATTGTCTAAGATTTGAGATTGAGTGTTCGTTTTATTAATAATTTAGATAATCAATGGTATACCAGCGTACATTTCGTCCTACTACTATTATGAAATTTATTAAGAATTGATGTATGTTATTATATCACGCTTAAACGGATTTAATGTTTAAAATACACGTTGCTATATTACTTTAGATACTTTTTTATCCTATTTCACCCGACCGGGCAAAGTTGCGGGGCAGTTAAAAATACGAGTTTTGGTAGTGTAATATATATATATATATATATATATATATATATATATATATATATATATATATATATATATATATATATATATATATATATATATATATATATATATATATATATATATATATATATATATATATATATATATATATATATATATCAATAATTCTACCGTCGCCACAAGCATTGAAAAAATTGCGTGACATACTTTGTTTTTCTCATATAGATTCATGTTGTGTTCTATACAAATGGTATATTTATACCATTATAATAAAACGAACATTACTTGTAGGGTGGAGCATAACATGTTTGCGGCCCGCGCCACCGCTCAGACCGCAATCATTCACGGTCGGCTCGGACGAAAATATCGGTCCGACCCACCCTTACGCACCGCACCAGCGGAAGTCCAACTCTTACGAGGAAGACGCACTAATCTTGAAGGTTATCGAAGCGTACTGTACTTCCGCGCGGTGCAGGAACGCTGTTAGTTCCGGTGAGTATCTTTATGTTCTATGCTCTACTAACTTGTATTAGTATAATAATTATTATTTATACGTCGTCCGTTCTGTTCACGTTTGTATTATAACGACCATCATTCAGGGGATAACAATTTATTCATGTGCGTCACACGAATGAGTTATTATTCTCAAATGACGCTTGTTATAATATGTAAGAGCAACATAATATAATAATAACCAGATCGTACTATTATCGGTGCTATTAATTGCTAGAATATCAATTATATATAAATGCTAGTTTATAAAGTAACGCAATATTAATAAGCATCATGTAAAGTATCACTTTGCTTAAGTAGAATGCAATTGAATTAATCTATTTACCATTACAAAGGACAGATGTTTCTACTAACATGACTGTATTTATTATGCAGTACCGAATATACCACTGGAGATAATCGAGTCTACAAGGAGGAGACAGGCAAAGTCAAGAAACCGTATTATCAGTTGGTTTTTAGAATGAAAGATCTGTATTTATTTGTACAAAACCCAGTTACCACTAGTCATTAAAAATGAACGCTTCAGAATAATCGTACAAATTTAGTTGTTGGTGTAATAAGAAGCACCTAATACATACATCACTGTAACTATAATACTCAATATAATCGCATATTTATATTAATATATGCACAAGTCTCTAAATGCATGATAATGCGGCATGCTTTAATTATCTATCCTACTCACTATTATATTCATATTCGTAGATCTGATTAGTTAGTTTCTATTACAAAAAGTAATATTTTGTATTAGCTAAGTATGTATCAATACAAAGTAGCTAGTCACGTAGTGGTATGAAAGTGTCCAAGTATATCGAGTTTCTTACTTTTCTATTTATTTGTTCCGTCGATAATTGAGAAAGTATTCGAATATAAACGACAATTTAGAGCGCATTTTTATCCAATTTAAGACTCAAAACTAGGTTAATGTTTACTTTGACAGTGTTAGTGGGCGTCCTTGCGCAATACAGGTCGTTTGTAACTGCTCTGTTCAGTATTTTCTATTATCAACTTTTCAATTAAGAATCTCTGTCTATTTAATTTTAATATTAATGAACGAATTAATGCTTCCATTATGATTTCACGCTATTTAATCTTCTAAAGATAAAAAAAATACATGGTTATTCCATTTATTAGTGCATTTGTTATATAACATGCATTATGCAAAAAAAATATTTTTGTAACTAACAAACAAATATCTATTATGCATTGAAGGCGCTCAAACCTACATTTCGGACTGCCACTTTCCATATTAAAATTGTTCGTGATTTAATAGAAAATGTCTCGATTGTATTAAAAGCTAACCACTCAGGCTTTTATCATTATAATATGGTAGTCTGAATCTTTCTATTTTGTTACATGCGGCTGCCTTTATATCGCACCTGCAGTGGACTGCGGCCACTTTTCTCTTGGTAAAGTACAATATCACGCACCCGCTACTAACCTACCTCACTATAACTATACTAAACTATCCGTCGTCCAGCGAAGTGAAACGCCAGAATATTCGAGCTATAGCAAGACATCAAAAGTGAAACGCAACAAGAGCTCATCGGCGGCAGACTCTTACCTGTATCGTGGGCCGGAGACGAGGAAGCTGCTAACGGAGCGCAAGTTTCAATTGAATCGTTCCAATCCCAATTTGTGGGAGTGTTCGGACGAACGTAGGATGAAGTGGAACTGTGGACGCGAGCGGCGCAGCGGGTCGCACCCTAGCCTCGCGCCGCTGCGAAATACGCTCCACGCGCCCGCGCCCTCCTCCGCTCCCGCGTCCGCTCCCCGCTCCGCTCGCTCCTCTACATGGTGCTGCGGAACTTTCGTAAAGCAGCTCACTAAATCGCACCATTTCGATTGACATAAGTAGTTCCCTTATCGTATTTTTGCTCAGTTTCCCTATTGGTTCCTATAGATATTAAATTATGCATTTCCGCCTAATTTCCTGATCGCTCATTGTATAATCTAAATCCTAATCATTTCTTAAAATGAGGTGTGCGTGATCGACTGATCGTTGACTGGTGTTGCATTCATAAACTTGACAATAACCAAAGCTGACTTCCACAGACTAATATAATACTTTTATAAACATGCTACTATTTACATTTCATTATAATAATAATTTATTTGTTTATCGTTAATATGACAAACGATGTTAATGTGATTTATATTAATAATGTCATTTTGTTACGTGCCATTTTTAACGGTTTACCGTCTGTTATAAAGCGTGTTATCTATGTTAACATAGATTTCCATATTATTTTTATAGTGCATGTGTGCATATAATATAATAATAGTGCATAATAGTAATGAAGCGGTTTAACTTTCATTTCGCTTACTAGATATGACTATCATTCATGGTGCATTAATAATGTAGTATATAGAGATGCATGGTTTGGTTGTAATTTGAAATATATTTTTAATGTTGTTATTATAATATGATGCAGGAAATAAAATTTATTATATTTGAATATTTACTATTTTTAATTTGTCGATATCTTTGTCGTCAAATAGTGTGATATAAATATAGCTTTATAAACATAACGTCATTATCCGAAGCGGTTTTCAGTATGTTTCCACGTGTGAAGCTATTTTAAGAGCTTCTAGTCAATCCGCCATAATAATATTAATTAGTGTCGAAAGGAAGAAGAAAACATGATTTTATTGAGTTGCAATTATTTGATTCGATGTGCATTAGATGTTTATAAGATACTCGTAATTAATTAATGTAAAATTACATGTTCATATTTAATAATTAAACTTTTATAACACAAGGTTGTTTTTGGCCCAGCGTAATATATATTTTATGTTTTAATAATATGTACCTAGAGATATTGTTGTTGGTGAGTTTAATTATTTACGTACTTTGATGTTACTTATTATAATAGACTAGAACGAAAGCCTCGGACATCGCTTGCATGGAATTATAAGTACAGGATTATAGCTCTTTCATTTTTAACAATTAAAAACCTATTTCACCTATTATTTTATTATTATTATTTTTTTAAATTGTCAAATTAACGTAATAGAAAATAACAAAACAGTTTAACAGCGAAATAGGTGTATTATATAACCGTAATAACCCTATTATAGAGGCTAGGGAATATAAAACACTCTTAAATTACAATTATAAAACAACTTGGCAATATACTGCTCAGATAGATGTATGCTACTTGGAAAAGTACAAGTTATGGATTTTTTTAGTACATTTTTATATATCTGTATCAAAATAAATAGCAGTCATATAAATTAGCATTATGTTAATCTTATTGTTCATAAGTACCTACAATTCATGTCTCCGGAGGAAAATGTCTCATTTGGCAAATTGTCGCTTAGTAATGGGCTGCTTATTAGATAATATCTAATCTCTGTTCTTGTCGACTATCAAACTTTTCCTTTTAACGATGTATTATATGATTCTATTATTACAACACAAAAAGTCTCTAATAATGATATCCATAATGTGTAATTACATGGTATATGAATTTCATGTTCCTGATATAGGTATATTAATATTTATACATTAAAACTTGTTACGTATGACACAGATAGGCAGTATTCCAACAGTTTGTTTCAGAAAATACAAAGCCATTCGTTTCCATGATTTTATATAAACGGAATACAAAATTCAGCTGTGCTGTGCATCTGTCATACAAAATCGGATATTTCATAATAATGTCGAACTCAAAATGGTCGCTAGAAAATATATGATATTGAAATAATAGGTACCTATTGATGCAGACCTGATACATGGTTTTTATTTAACTTTCGCGGAACCCTTTATATCCTGTTCCATGCGAATTTCTGAAAATTACGTCTTAGTGTTCACATATCATAGGAAATCTTGGGTAAAATTTTGTTTAAAAAGTAAAATTTTATAATAGAATCTTGTTATATCGTAAAATTTTATTATGTGTAGGTAGGTATATGTAGGTACCTACATCGCCCTCAAATAGCTGACTAAATAATTCATTTGGTGTTTTCCTTCTGAACGTACTTCAGTGGATTGTCGAATTATGTAAAACGTGAACACAACGAATAGCTAATAGACACAAGTGGAGCGGGTTATTAGATTGTGATGTAGGTCTGTATGTAATCACAACAGGCAGCGGGGTGCGCAGCGCGTGCCATTCATTTAATATTGAACGGGGTAGTGCACTGCATTGCATCTAGCATTCATAAATGTTTCCTACATTACTTTAAAACAGTGCCAACTACAATATTGTACGACATATTGTACAGCTTTCACTTGTACAATAAATTGTTTAAACATGCAGTGCCTTGAAAGATTTATTATTTATTTATACATTATTTATACAAATAGCGAGCTTAATGCCATATGATTTTCTCTAGCAGTTAACAATTATATAAAAACAGCGTTTAGAGGTAGTGGTGATTTGCATAAAATTATCGAATAATGTTGTACAATATAAATAAATATTAAGGATTGAAAATTATCTTAATGCTTCTACTGAAGATGAATTGGAATTGAATATATTGTTTAACAGTTTAAAAGTATCGTTTCTAACATATTATGTATTCTGAGATGAATTACAAGAAAAAAAAAATTAACGTCCGAATTTACTGTTTCACCGCAATCGGCCTAAACATTAGATTTAGACTAAATATTTGAAATTTTGGATTGACACAATGTTAAACTGTTCCTGGAAATTCTCACGTGAATGGAATGTACGGTTCCGCACAGGCAAAGGTATGGGATACAGCTAGTCTATTTATATAAAAAGAGAATCCGACTGATAGATCACTGCACACCCAAAACTGCGGATCTGTGAAATGTGAGTTTTGCGCAGAGGTTTTTATATACCTACCGTAAGTGAACACAAAGAGAAGGAAATTCCCAAGGGATTCCCAACGGGGGACAACGGGTTCACCCGAGCTATACTGCGGAAAATAGTAACTTGAAACAATATTATGATTCGCGCATTCTTGAAAAAATGATATTGCTGTTACGCAATGTTTACTTAATATTAACTATTGGCTGTATTCCGCTTCTTTGAATTATAATAAAAATATCTATTATATTTTAATATAAATATGTATATTATACTTTAAAACATGATCTCTCTGTGTACCAATGTGCATTCAAAACCTTTCAGCTGTTTGATATTACTATACACACATATACAATTAATATACACACAACCATCTCTTTGAACGTTCACGTTAACAATTTTATGGGATAACCCCTTGTGAAGTTTCAGTTGTGAAGAAACGTTAGTTATTACTTATTTATTATATATATACTTATAAATCATCAAAGAAACATTGATTTAGCTCTATGTAGGTATTGTTATAAAAAGTATACTTTAATTCAATTGTTCTTATCATAATAAAATCTTAAGCCGTAGTATCATCGATATAGGTTTAATAAAAAATTGCGTACTAGAAAAGCAAAAATTCTGCTCTCTGGATGTAATTATAATAATTATTTACAGAAACGCCTACATATGCAGCATTTACAATTTCATTAGAGGAAAAGTCGACAAAAAGTAGCAAATGTCAAGCGAACCGAAAGCTGATTAATTGAAGTGGAAACTAAAAATTCTCCTCACGCTCGTATTTTACTTAGTGTAATTTCTGCTGAGTAAACATTATTGGTACAATATTAAATATACAACGTTAAGTATACTAACTTATATAAAATTATGAATTAATTAATAAGTTACAATATCTCGAATTTTTAACTCTAACAGTAGGTATCTGCTCGCACGAACTTAGGGCATATACCTCTAATAAGGTGATTTTTTAATGAAATTACTATCAAATCATTTTTCAGATTTGAAAGTAAATTAGTTAAAAAAGACGCCCTATTAGAGGTATATGATTTATATTAAAAATAATATATATCAACTAAAAATGACTTAGCTGACACAATTATGGTCCGTTCTAAGGGCCCAATTTTCTCTTTAGAATATACGTTGGTGTAACTTAGTCGGGGATGCTCTAAACCGATCGCCATTTTATAACAAAATATTGTGTGTAAATATAATAATATATATTTATGGTTATATACAGGTATAATAAAGTTGAAGTGTACAATAATATATTGCATTGTAGTGCTTATACATTTTGAGATCATTGACATATCGATTTGTTGCTGTTGCCAGCGAAGTATGGTATTGCGCGAACTCTACAAAATATATATGTATAGGTACTCTTTGGGAAATGGAAATGGTAGGGTTCTAGAAAATAATTTCTTTCTCTTTTTCTATATTAATTAATTATTTTATTTTATATAAACATAAAGTACATTTTGTGCCTCTATAAAATATGGGCGATCAAGCTTTACTCGCAAACTGTAATCTCTCTATTACCTTGATTCGATTAAAATTATCCCTGAGACAACACCTACTATCAGTTTTATAGTAAATAATTTCATTATAAGTGCTTATCTACTAAAATCGAAATATTTTAGTGGATTTGTACTAAACCCACTAAAATAGTTCACTGAAAACTATTAACAGTCATTATTGACCTTATGTTAATGTGTATCCACGGACTGACTGAAAACTTTGTATCTATATACTTGATTATTGAATTTGAAACAAATGTTAATATACCTATTTATACAGGGTTGATATACATGTAAATATACTACTAAATCCTTTTCGATTATATAGGGCTTATGCTTCGATTATAATTATTTATGTATTACTACGAATAATTAAAGTAATTAACGCTTATTTGACTTAAAACGTATTTACTTAGTATTGTAGCACATTGGAATTGACTTGCTTATTGACTTTATGTATAATTAAATTCAGATTAAACGCCAAGTTGTCGACATAGCTGAAATTTTATTCGTGGCAAAATTGTCTACTTGAAAAGAAACATGCGTATCAAGTAGATGTATTCTCTCTTTTTATTATATCAGGCCTGGTCGCGGCGGTGTTCTTTATTATAAATATTTTAGCAGTTTCACTCTCGACCGTACGTGATAACGGCTACGAACGACGCGGATAAACCCATGGCGTTGACAAGAATAGGGGTGACTCCATACACGAAGTCTGTAATTTATTGCGAGAATAATCTGTTTCCAAGTCATCGCTTCTAACATACAAATGTGTCCTAATGTTCAACAATATCTTAACTGTAAGCTTTTAGAATATGTTAATTAGGATCAAAAAAATTTGTGAACAAACATGTGTTAATTCAAATTATATTTTATTCCCTACAACATTTTCGATGAGATGAAATTAAATCGACTTTATGTATCTATATAAGATAATTACGTGTAGAAAATATTATTACACACCTATTTAAAACTGTAATATATTATATTACTAACTTCTAAATTAATTTATTTTTACGTATTTGTATATCTTCTATTTAAATGTTGACATAGAACATATTTATAGAATTATATATTATTATGTATATTACATGACAGATCGTTTATAAATTTCTGAAATCATTGGATAATAATGTCTTAAAGATTTAATAATACAAT